GTATTAGTCGCTTTTTGTTGCTCACCGTGTCTTGACGACTCTGTAGTAAGACTTAGCGAAGTGTGAAAGGGTGCCGAAGACTCGTCCTCTGGTTTCTCGGGGGGCGTAGTTGCCCACCCACAGTGTTTTGCTAACCACCAACAGGCACCAGGTATTTCTCTCCGTGGAATTTTTCTTGGAGTTTGTGTGCGTGGGCAGTTCAAGCCTCCCAGCCACAAATCGCGGGGTAGCCAAAACCCGGAATGCGGAAGAACAATTGCCCAGCGTATCAGTGGCACAGTCACCAACGCCATTGCCAGAACAGGCCCTTAGTCATCGCTCTTAATCGAACTGACGGCACCAAACAGTCACCTCTTATTTGAGACTTATCAGAGATGCTGGCTTAATTACTCTGCTGCCTGGGATGGGGGTACTCATAACCTTGGAAATTGCTCTCAATACGATACAATGTCATATTGATTGTCCTTGAGCTTGTTGTCCCAGTCAACTAGGATTCAGAGAGGCTCGAAGGTGCAGCAAGGCCCTAGTGGCTTCTGGAAGATTCTGGATTTTGATTGGCCAGGCGTCCCGTTTCCTAACCTCATAAGAAGCCCTTGAAGAGCAACCACGGCAATCTCTTCGGACGTTTACAAGAGAATTCTCATTCAGATCATATCCTCTGAGCGAATACAATACTTTGAACACTACTAGACAGACCAATTTTTGCCCTTTTTGGAGAAATTGTAACATACCTGATTGCCCATCATGGAACCAGGACTAAACTCCCTACTACAATGGAGTATCGAGAACTCCGACACTGGTCGAAACCCCGATCAGCCCGTCAGAGAACCCAGAGGCCTGTCGGCTGATGTGCTGCGCTCACTGATGGGCGGTCCGAGCGACGCCGACTTGATGCGAGAAGCCATGGCCATCATCGAATCCTCCGACCCCGAAGTCACCCACGACGCCAAAATGACTGCCTTCGACAACCTCGAACAACTGGTCGAAAGCATAGACAACGCCAACAATATGGAGCCACTGGGCCTTTGGTCGCCGCTGCTGGCGCAGCTTGAGAGCCATTCGGCAGACTTGAGACGCATGGCGGCCTGGTGCATCGGCACGGCAGTCCAGAACAACGTCAAAGCCCAGGAGCGACTCTTAGCCCTCAACGGCATTGAGCGGCTTGTCCAGGTTTCCCTCGATGACGCGGACAAGGCCGTGCGAAGGAAAGCCGTCTACGCCCTGAGTTCGGGCATCCGGAATTACCAGCCCGCCATGAACGAGGCGGTAAAGCGGTTGCCAAAGGATATCGTCGGTCCTGATCAGGTCTCTGCGGCAGATATGGACGTGATTGATGCCATCATGGGCAAGCTCAGAGAAAGGGAGTGAGCTGAGGGAGGTCAAGGAGAAAAACTTGAGAGACCGAGCCGAACGAAATCCCGGAGTGGCAATATACCATTCCGGTAGAAGGGGATCGAAAGACCAAATATGCTGGGCAGCAAGAGATGTTTGCCCCACTAGTGACAACTGGACGAGCAAGAGCAGAGCATCCCAGGCATCACGCCATTCCATAAAAAGGGATCTCAGTCCAGCTTAGTACCACGGGAAGATCAGGCGGCTGCTTGATCACGGCGAACTTGAGAAGGATGCACACTTGTGCATTCAAATGGTGTTTTCAAGCCTGGGAGATAGTCGCCACAAGCTTCTTCCGGGCCGGAACCGAACAGAAATATAACGAATGAAATGAAATGTTTCATTTTGATCAATACAAGTACAGACGTTGACCCGTGACCGCCATGCTGTGGATACGCCTCATTGCCGCTGAAATGATACTGTGTGCGCCTTTGAGAGCTGCGCTACCATGGCTTGCCTTCATATGCCTCTTAGCCTTAGCATGTGTACCTGTAGCTTTCCGATAGCGCGCGTGTGAGAAACAGCGCTATAGCACCCTGTTCTTCTCCCTCGCGCCAGCATAGCAGTTCTCACAGCTGCAGTGTATATGTATAATCATCCTCCATATTCTGACTGACCCAAAGAACCACCGAGCTCAGCATGACCAACCCATTGGCCACCACATTGGCCACTCCCATGTACACCGTCTGCAAGGCATAGTCCTTGAAAAGGTACTTGAGCACCATGACCGTGACACTCCCGGCCAGGCCGCCGGCCATGAGCGCAAAGCCCAGAAACAAGACGGTGCGCGCTTTCCAGGCCACCCCGTTCCCGCTATACGACCAGCTGTCCGCGGACAGGCGGGATTTCTCGATCGAGTTGATGACGAGCATACCCAGCGCCGAACAGATCAGAGGGATCCAGTCGACAAAGTTGATGTGCACGTGGCTACCGTTGAGGGGAGACTTGGAGAAGACGCTGGCATCCACGAAGAAGAAGAAGCCGAGAGAGAACTGGAAGTTCGGGGGTTTTCTATTAGTGAGGTTCCTCGGGGTCAAGGGGACAAAAGTCAAGAGGTATAGCGAGACATACGAGAGCGCCGGCAATATAGACACCAGCGGTTCTGGTGTTGGCGCTGTTCAGCCAGGCAGGCTTCGAAAAGCGGAACAGACGCTGTGAGGTCGACATGGTGTAAGCAGAGGAGGCTTCGACAGGTAGAGACCGTGCGATGGGGATAATTGTATATCGTTCTCGTAGACGCTAATGGTTCGCAGGGACGCAATGAAGAATAGATGTCCTGGTCCGGACGAAAGCTGGGAATCTAAATGTCGCAAGGCCGCCGATGATCGTAATTCGCAGGCTGGCACGGCTGGAAGCCGAGAAGCATCAACCACTCGGAGACTTTTTCCACCAAGCTCGCGGTGGGAATTATTCGGCTAACCTTCCCGATAGGGTTAGGGTAACAGTCACAACAGAATGACCCTTCCTGCCTTCTTAGGACATGGCCACTTGGCCCCATTACTGTAAGAGCATTCATTGCGGCAGTTCCAGTAGGAAAGCCGTAGGGGCCAACGGACAGGCACGAAATGGCAATCTTTCTACAGCGATAGCATGGATCACCCTCTTGGCAGCAAGACCGTGGGAGGTAGATGGCTCCGGAACGATCCCACGCACTAAGCAGGCCCATTACAGCCTTGACGCCCGTCGCCGATAAGTGGTCCGATTCTATCCCGGCGCCAGCTCGATCTCTACCTCGTACTTAGAGTGGAATGGCATTCGAGAATACCCCATAACAGACATCCTCGAATGGGACGATGGCTGGACAACTAGATTGTAATGTTAGAGGCCGTCGCCTCTGGTTCGCATCCGCTAAATATAGGCCTATATATATATATATCTTAACGTACGATATTTATTGAGGCTCTATCAACCCTTAATCAGGGCCGAGGTATCGACTTAGAGTAATAGGCTGATCGATGCCGGAAGTCTAAGAATCCTACTACATGACTATAGCTTAAAGCGTCGACTACCCTACTTCGGAACTCCTGTCACGGATCTCCAAGTGCTTGAAGAAGGACGTCTACTGTTAGATGCAATGTCGAAAGATCCGAGGGTCCGCGTCCCCGCAATCCCGGTATTACTTCATTCAGATCTGAACGTGCGGAATATCTTCGTCGACGCTGACGACCACACTACGTTGCAGCCTTGTGCTAGAGCTGGTTGGCCTCGTCACCCTACACTCGTAAGCGCCAGCTACCCCGTGAACGTCTGGACTTAGTTCGAGAATAGTTACGAGTAGGATAGTGCACGACGATGACTGACGACGGGAGTAATATGGAGCCTGAAGTTTAGTTCAAGACCGCAGGCTGCAGAGATACATGGAAGGGGCACGAGGTCAAAACATGCGCGGCAACTCATGGGCTCGATCCTGGTCCTCAATTGACACATGAACATCGTGAAGGCCACTTCTCGGAGAAGGAAAGAATAGCATAACCAGTAAATCCCATTAGGAATAGCCTTGTGGGCGAGCCACAGCTTGTCATTGATACAAATATACCAGAATTCGCTTGCGTGATCCGTTGCGTAGAACAACTTCCACCTCGTATATTTACCTCCAACATTGCGGAGCAATATCTGTTAGACCAACCAGATTCATGACGCCTAGCAGATGCATCCAGATCCTCAAAAGTCCGCGTTTGCGCTGCGCTTTTTAAAAGTCTTGCTCCTCCTTGAAAAACTGGGTGAAGCTGATGATGGTGCCGTATATCAGCAGACCACCGACAATTGACATAACCATGGCCGGAATCTGAATGAGAGCAGAATGAGCGAGCAGGATCGGCAAGGCTGTCGTGAAGTGTTGGTCAGTGTACTCGCTCAATATCCTCCGGCTATGTAAACGTACCGATACCCATAAGGACGAGGAATCCTGTGGCAAAGCGACCCAGATCTATCCAGGCGCCGGAATTGCTCTCAATAAAGTCGTCTGCATTGGCACATCGTCCTGCCACCCAGTTCGGCACGGGCGCTAACACATAAGTTGCGACGACGAGTAGGGTGAGGAAGTTATGGAACAGCGCAGCGGAGAGGATGACGAGGAGGAATCCGATGGCAAGTACCTGGCTCTTTGTTAGTTGCGCGCGCCCTGGATAGGATCATACTAGCTCATGCGGCGTACAAAGGAGAGAGCAATAATCGTTTTCAACCCTGCCGTCATGATCATGGGGAAAGCAAGATCGAGTAGATCGCTTTATCTGGTTTTCTTGATGCCTGCGCAACTACAAGCGCTGCGACTTGGGGTTCGAGTGATCGGAAGGATAGAAGAGGCGGAGCGAAGCGAGAGTGGGCTGAATAGTGTTATCGCAAGAGTCGTATATTGGGTTTCATGAAAGAAATGGGTTGTTGGTTCGGTGGTTGAAGGGTCGACCGACTTGTGAGGGATGTTTCGAAGGAACCTGTGGCTGGGCGCCGAAGCTCCTCCGCAGTCGATCGCGAGAACCTGGAGTTTGCGCGTCTGCAAGTGCCTGGCTTCATTGATTTTATTCTAAATTCCAACACCCACCACCCACGACCCGATCTCTCCTTTGCTGTTTATGCTCCGGTACTTTTCATCTACTTAACGTGCAATCAAGATGTTTAGAAATAACTATGACAACGACTCCGTCACCTTGTAAGGCTCCTTATTGACCACCCTCCACACCCTCAGATACTGATTCATTTCCAGTTCACCTCAAGGCCGGATATTCCAGGTCGAGTATGCTCAAGAGGCCGTCAAGCAGGGATCGGTAGTTGTCGGGGTCGTCAGTAAGAAGCACGTGGTTCTCACTGCTCTGAAGGTCCGCATCCAAAACAGCTTCGTTCTCAAGACATCCGCCGCTTACAATGGCTATAGAGAAATGCCGAAGAACTATCCTCGTACCAGAAAAAGATAGTGGGTGTCGATGACCACCTAGGAGTTGCCCTCGCCGGTCTCGCCTCAGACGCCCGTGTCCTTTCCAATTTCATGAAACAACAGTCACTCGCCTCAAAAATGACCTACGGCCGTCCGATACCCGTCGAGCGCATTGTGAATATGATTGGCGACAGAGCTCAGACCAACACGCAACACTATGGCAAGAGACCCTACGGCGTGGGACTGTTGGTGGCGGGTGTCGATGAGCTGGGACCTCACCTGTTCGAGTTCTCTCCGTCAGGGATGACGCAGGAGATGCTGGCTTGTGCGATTGGAGCGAGGAGTCAGATGGCTCGAACGTACCTGGAGAGACACTTGGATAAGTTTGCGGACTGCGGCCGTGAAGAGTTGATCAAACATGCGTTGCTCGCATTGAAAGAGTCTTTGGCGCAAGACAAGGAGCTCACAGTGGACAACACCAGTTTGGCGGTGATCGGTATCGGCGAGAAAGATGGTAGGAAGAAGCTGGAGGCCTTCAAGCTCTATGACGGACAGGACGTTGGGCCGTTGCTTGAAGCGAGCGTGGAGACGACGGCAACTGAAGGCGGAGACGCAATGGAAACAGATTCGTAGGAAAACAAGTGATAGGAACGCATATTGCACGGCGTTTGGCGTAGCAGGCTGCTACAAGGCAATGCGAGACCGTCTCAAGGAAATGGCCGGGCAGAATGGGTGGAATCGAAGAATTTCACTGTGCTCTATTTTCCCATCTATGACCAATCCAGCTTATACCTGCCAGGTGCAACCTGATAACCACGCAAGGCTTCGATGACCTGATCCGTGCTTTGGACCTCGACCAAGATATTAGCAGCGCCCTCTCCCACGAACCCTTCTCTTATCGCCGTCTTGACCCAGTCTAACAAGCCGTTCCAGTAACCGTTGATATTGACGAGAATGATGGGGATCTGATGGATGCCCAACTGATTCCATGTAACCATCTCCATGACCTCCTCCATGGTCCCATATCCTCCGGCCAGTGCCACAAACCCTGAGCCAGGCGCACCGGCTTGCACTAAATTTGCCATCATCCGTTTTCGAGTGTGCATGTCCGGGACGATGGTGGTTCTCCCAAACTCGGACTCGGGCACAATTTGTTTATCCGGATCTTCGGTACTGTCGATGCGTTGTAATTCCTCCGTGGACATGGTGCGCTCTGCCTTTCTCGTTCCGAAGCGACTGGTTTCGCTGCGCACAGAAGGGTCCTTCTCTGAGCGGATCAATGCTCTGGGGATGATACCGTGGACTGAACTGGGACCGGAGAGGGAGACGAGCGTTTTGGCCAATTCGCCCATTATGCCCATGGTCCCTCCGCCATAGACGAGCTGGTAGCCGGCCTCATGAAGAGATTGCCCCAGTTCTCGTGCGGACGTGAGATGGACGGGATCTTTTCCTGGTGAAGAAGCACAACTTAAAGAAACCTATTAGTCACCCTACTAGGAGCTTCACACATGGGGAGATCGTGTTTCTCGACGCACAAGACGCAGACGACGGGAGTCGCCCCGCTGGATTCCTGGGCTGCTGGCATTATAGAGCAGCCTGATTGAGACGGGGAGAGATGGGCAAGATGAAAGTTCTTGGACGGCGAAAGGCTAAGATCATGAATTGGATGGGGTGTAGTAAGTGTGGTTGTGAACTGTCGTTTATGTCGGTCTCGAAGTCGAGGGAGAGCAAAAACTTAAGAAGAGAAGCAGCAGACGTGCGTGAAACCAGAATTGACCTAGATCATGGTCCGACCTACGAAATACTATTTGGAAACGTTGTGCGAGTTTCGGTGAAGACTGATTGGAAGGGGAAAAGTTGCAGATGTTGGTTGTTGGGCATTTGTTTGGTAAGCTGGACACACAGTTTATGCGTGGCTCGTTCTGGACGATTGGTTTATGAGTCAACATGACGTCGGAGACAGCAACCTCGTGTGGATTCAATGGTGCCACGTGAAGGGATCGTGGGAAGGAGAATGTGGTTCCCAGTCCTCGGAGGTCGCCGATGGCACTGGGATTCTCAAGGGAAAGGGAGGACAAGTTGAGGTGGAAGTGGTGAGGGATGCAGTGAGCATTATTACATAGGCATGAGGTAGACATAACGTGTACCTAGAGAAGATGGGTATAGGTAGGGTAACACTGGTAGCCCTAGGTACCTAGTGCTATTGTAGGTACCTAATACTTAACAGGGAGTACTTGGTATAGTAGCATTATTAGTACGAAGGTGCGAGGGTACGAGGGGGACAAGGTGAGAGACTGGGGCTTATCGATAGCGATAGCGGCCAGCAGGATACAGTAGGTGCTAGGGAATACTAGGTAGGTACTCGGTATAGACCAAAAACGCTTAGGTAGTATTTGTAGGTAATAATAGCATTCACTAGTGGTACCCAGGTAGGCACTGGTCTTGGTGGGTAGTATCGAGTACCTACTGTCCTGGGACATGTACGTGCTAGGCAGCCACCAGCCTGGCACCTTCCAAGTTATTGTCCCTCGCATCACCACGTGATTGTCTCAGACGCACGAGGAAAAGATTCTCTCTCTTCTCTTTCTTCCTTCCTCCTTCCTTCCGCTATTGTGCCGTCTTCCTCCACTCTTTTCGCTTACTGTATCCGCTCCTGTTCTGCCGATCTGCTCTTCTTCCTCTTCTCCAAACTCTTCTTCCCCTTGCAGCTGCAAGGTTATTCATTCTTGTTTCCCCATCAGTGCCTCGTCCCTGGCTGCCTGAGAGCCTCAATCGCCCCAGCCTCCTCCATTATCCAGCTCACGGGACCCCTTCAACTGTTCCATGCGACTGACACTGGGCTGAACAAGCTCGTCATGATCCATCACAGGATCTCGTATCGCACCCGTCCTCCCGAGCAATCGCAGCTGTTTGACGGCCCGCATGGCTCGCTTAATATGCTCGTACTGGGTCCCTTCTGACTCGAAGCTTTCGCCTCTGCCTTCTTTGCAAGGTCAACGCAATGAGCCTTAGACTGGCCCGTTTCGGGCTTTTACTACGCCATCCCTCCATTCCGTCACCGTCCCATTGGTTGTGAACAACCACGCCTTGCCGACGGTTTTGCTTGTTCTTGCCTGCGTGCATGTCGGCCACTGATACATGCGGCCAGAAGCCGTGCAAACAGCCAGCTCCAGGCACTCCATCCTCGGAATCACACCCTCCTCGGCCCCAATAGTCTCGTATCTTGCGATGGGGAGCTGAAAAAAGAACCCCGCTTTCCCTGGTAGGGCTACCAACTACATGTGCTTTCGGGCGTGATCGTTGCAGATACTCTCACACCTCTCTGGCCCTTCGTCTTCAAATGTCCTAGCCGCCAACCTCTACTGAGACCTTGCCCCGGTGGATTTCTTGGTTTGATGCTTCAAGACCTCGCCGTCCCGCTCTCTGCCTGAGGGTTTTTCCTCTTCTCTCTTTTTGCTCCGTCAGCCTTATCCTTGCACCAGGTTACCCCGCCTGCCGTCCTGACGATATCATTGTCGTCGCAGCGCATATCCTGCGGCGCAACCGGTGCCTTGTGCAGCCATGGCCAGCACCACCGACTCGACTGATCTGAGCTCTGCCACGAGCGATGTGACGAGCACCATTTCCACCGACACCACTACTTCAACGACAGATTCGACGACTGTGTCGACGACGACAGACCCTCCTACGTCGACGACGACGACGACATCTTCAAGTGAGACCTCCCCTACTACCTCTTTTACTACAACCACCCCCAGTAAGTTGATGAGTGCCATTTTGCACTTGTTTGATCTTCCCCCCGCTTCAGCCTCGCATCTATCGCGCTTGCGGATTTGCTTTTTTGTAACATTTGCTTCGTGGCAGCTACCACAAGCTTCACATCGTCGTCGTCCACCTCCACTATCCCAACCAGTACAGACTCTTCCACTACTTCCACGCTGCCTCCAACAAGCAGCTCTACTTCAACCACCATTTCCACAAGTAGCAGCACGTCAAGTATTACCCCCTCCCCGTCGTCAACCAGCAGCAGCAGCGACAGCAGCAGCAGCACAAGTATTTCCCCTTCTACAGAGCTTAGCAGCAGTACCTCAAGCGTCCCCTCCTCTACATCTTTTACTAGCACTTCTACTACCTCAAGTGATATCCCCTCTTCTTCTCTCCTAGTATCTACTTCCTCTGGCTCCTCGACGTCCGCTTATACCTCCCCCTCAACTATAGCTACCTCTTCTATCCCCAGCACCTCTTCCCCTACCACAACCTCTTCCTCTCCACTTCCAACGACGTCGTCAACGACGCCTTCTCCCTCCCCCAGCACTACGACTACCACTTCTGAAATTCCAAGTACTACTAGTGAGTCTTGTTTGTTTGTTTGTTTCGTATCGTCCACCATCGTGTCCATTAGCGTATTACTTGAGAGATCTCCTCCTAATCTTGGGTGCTATACTAGCCACAACTTCCTCTTCTCCCTCTCCAACAACCACAAGTACCACTATCTCGACAACCACTACAACTCCACCTCCATCCACTACTTCATCCTCTACATCTACCACCCCCTCAACAACCTCAGAATCGTCCACGACCACACCATCAACCTCTAGCACTTCGTCCGAATCAAGCACAACTGAACCGCCAGTCGTGATAACCACCTCCAGCACCTCAATTTCCTATTCGACTTCCACATCGTATGTTACTCAAGTCCTCCCGACTACCCAAGATGGCCAACCAGGCTACACCACCCTCACATCCGTCGTGATAGTGACCAACCCTGCCACAACCCTCGTCGCACCAGCAACCTTTACAAGCACTCCCGGCAGCAGCGCCCCAACCCTCCTTCCAGCGAACGACGGTGGAGGCGGCGGGTCAGGCTTATCAACAGGTGCCAAAGCTGGCATAGGGGCCGGTGTCGGTGTTCTTGTGCTAGCAGCCGCTATATTTGGCGGCTGGTACAGTTGGTACATGAGGCGACGGAGGAAACGAAATTCCTACTCTCATGACAGGTATTCGGATGGTACCTTACCTAGCATGACAGGGCTCGGCATAGCAGGAGGCGGAACTGCAGGGATGGGAGCTATGGCCGCAATGTCTTCGGGTTACCGTGATACCTCCAACCGCTCCGACACGCGTTCAGAACTACCATCTCCTCCAGCTCCTTCTCCACCACCTCGTTCTCCAGACCGACTTCTTCCGCCTGGAGTGGTACCTTTCCGGTATCGAGGTTCTAGCTCGCCGCCACCCAACCAAGACCCTACCCACATGTCTGTCTCGGACCAGAGCGAGTATTCACAGGGGAACAATCAACCTCAACCGGGGGGCCCATACCCTCCCGGACCGAATGTGCCCGGAGCTGCGTACTTTACGAATCTCAATGAACTCCCTGAGGACCAGAGAAACATTCACCAACTGCCAGATGACCAAATCTCCAACCCCATGTCACACCAAAGCTACCAACACGCCAATATGGGTCACGATGGATATTGGTCCGGACAGCCGTCAGCACCTTCGGCACCATCAGCGCCGTCAGCACCATCGGCTCAGGAGTCCTATGAGTTACCCGGACAAAATCCTACTCCTGCGCAGCCGCAAGGTGGCCAGGGAGGCTATCGCGGCGCGGATCGAGAGGTTCCTCTCCATCAACGCCTAGAGGGTAGAGTGCCATACCGACCAGGCCATCTATCGCCTTCGCACAATTTTTGAATCGCTTGCCGGGCCAAAAGTGTGTATCGTGGGTATTTTAAAACATAAAATAATAATGTCTTGTCAGATGATTGGATGAATGGGAACGAAAACACCCAACAAAAGCGTCTTTTCCAGATTAATCTGATTTGCACATCTGAACCCGTTGTGCTGTGCCTTTGCTGGAAGTTGACCCTCTCCTGCTTTCAAGTTGTTCAGGCCTAGCCACCCTCTGCACGACCTCATAGGGGCAGTGGAGGATATAATACAATAATCAGGTTGAAAGACTATTTTCTATGCACGTCCTCGATTTCTGCGCAAGTGATCGCTATATCCGGAAGTTTTTTGGTCTGAATGGACAATTTGTTGTCCTCCCGCCGAGAGCTGTCACTTTTCATGTGTGTCTCCTGTCCTCCGTACTGGTAATGGCGACCGGTTCAACAATGTTGCTGTCACAAATTTCTCTCTATCTCTCCTTCCCTTCCCTCTCGCAGTCGCTCGGTCGCTCATGCGCGTGGTATATTCGTAGACGCCGTCACTGGGTAAAGCCTCGTCCGTCGATTGATCGAGCCAGTGACATAGAGTGCGCAACCTAAAGCTCTCTGGTTCGTAGGTGCTGGGGAGCCCGCGGGCCCCAATGCCTCATTGAGCCAGGAAAGTCTCCTTTGATTCTTGCCCGTAAAGGCGGCACCTCTATCTGGAGATCTGGAATAAAACATGATCTCTGGGGTGGTGGTGATGGGGACAAGAGGACTCTGGTGGCTCTCTTGTCTTGTCTTCCTTGCCGTGTTCCATGTATAGAGCCTTCTCGATCTCGATCTTAGCATTGAGGGAAGCGCCCGGCGGCGACACTGTCACCGTCGTCGTCGTCGTCGTCGTCGTCATCCCACGATATACAGTGAATAAAGTACACTTTTGTCGCCTTTCCCCCGCTTTCCTTCACGTCTTCCACGTAACAAGAGCGGAACTAGGTGGCGGAAACAAACGCCTGTATGCTTCGTCAGGGCAGAGCGCTTTCCATGTCTCAAGTGAATGATCGGTTAAACCCATGGCTCAATTTCGGGAAAAGAGGAAAATGTCACTCGATGGGTAGGAAAGAGGGTCTTTCGAGGGGGGTGTTATTCGCCGTCGAGTCGAGGGTGTTGAGTTCAGTCCCGTTGTATAAAGAGATATAGAAGATCTTTCTTCATCAAATGAATGCCTAGGCAAGAGAATAGCTCCACGGCGGTTCTGGTTGCGCTTCAAACACGACGCATCGTTTGTTGTCGTTGTCGTCGCGGCGATCCAAAGTCCCCCGCCAAAGTTGTTGACCCTATGTCCAGTTTGGCAGCGTGAACCCACATCGACGTCGTCGGTTCACGGCGATGAATGCACAAAGAAAGGAAAGACCAGGCCTTTCACAAACAGATTTCGTCTCCAAGCGCCACTCACAGCGTGTCACTTGTTGCATCGTCGTCCCCGTTGAGAAAGAAGTCATTCCATGACAGATCCAGTTCCAGATTCAAATCCAAACTTGCGCAACGAACCTGTTAACGACTCAGGTTCTTCGACCGTCTCGTTTGAGGCTGCTGCTTGAACACGAAAGACTGGACGATCCGTATCCTGTGCTCGCTGCACCACTTACCTAGTTCAAGCCTTACGATCACAACAACAACCACACCTTGACACGACTCTTTGTCCCAGACATGGACACCGCGACTCTGGACATCGATCGCCGTGGACGTGCTAGAACGGTCTTGCCTCGTGCATCTTCCTCACCGCCAAAGAAGCCTCGCTCCATTCGAGAACCACATGGTCCTGAATTGGTCATTGACAACCGTGGTTATGCCAGAGCAGTGTTTCCAAACTCAAACACGAATTTGCATTTAGACGACGTGCACCTGCGAGTTGGCCGGTATGAAGAGTCGTATGAGCGCACGAAATTTCCAGATGAAGGTGGTTCTCCCTCTTTTGATTGCGTGTTTTTTGCTGATTGAACGTGGCAGATCTTGATGTCGAAGCCAAAGAAGTTGTTCCTCAACCAGCACGCTTTCGCCTTCACCAAGGTGACGACCCTCGGTTCCAGGCACCGGTGACACCGCAAAATGGCAATTTGGCTATGGTTCCTGCACCTCCGCGCTATCAACATGGATCCGGTATAGGAGAAATAAAAGAAATCGAACGACGAGAGGCAGAAGAAGACCAGGTGCAGCAGGCCACGTATCAACTTAACCACATCCCAGTGTTGCCACCAATCATTTGGGTCAAGCGAGCCGACGCATACACCCGTCTTCGCTATGCAGTTGACGTCGTGACCGTCCACGGCGAAAAGTACATCAGAATCGATGAGATACACTTTCTGTGTGCCGTGAACGCGGATTGGCTTCAGACCGGCGAGGACGTCACCATCCGCCGAGTGCAATACCGCCATTGGCAAGCCGGGAGACGCGTTGGTCGTCCAGAGATTCTCTTCGTGTTGTATCCGCTTGGGGAATTGGCGTATACTCCCACCAATAATCGCCGCAAGAAGGCACCTCTGGAATTCCGTCCTCAGCTGGACAACTATGGCCGGGTGCTTTTGAATGCGTTCGATCGCCCTTTGAAATTCTCCAACGTTATGCCTGGACAGATCAGCACAGAAATCGAGGGGTGGGAAATGGAGGCCATTTGCCGTTTGGACCCAGACATCTGTCACCAAGATTTCATCGATCGCATGCTCCCCAATCCTGGTCCTGGCAAGAATCGACCCAGCAAAGGCACACTGAATCACCGTCGTCGGCGAGATCGCATGAAGATGAGAGTCGTTCCCTGGCCTCTACCTCGACAACTCAGCTATTCCGATCAACAAGTCATCAATGAGCTGACCGTGTGGCAAATGGAGAATAACACGACTATGGGGTTGAGAGACCTATCAAAGGAGGAGATCGAGATGCAAGAGGCAATCATGTATGGTGGGCATTTTGAGCGATCAGGGGCCAATGCGCAGAATGACAGGGCAAGATTGGAGCAGTTTTGGGCCAACCTGAGACTTGTGAGGACTAAATTTGCGGAGGATTCGGAGGAGGTGAGGTGAGAACGATCAAGAACAGGATCGCTGTGCAGCTGGAGAAGATGGGGCTGGAGTACGACCATCATGTGTGGGACGCCTAGGGTGGTACATGGGCGATGGCGATGGGCGATGGTGATGGGGCGGTGCTCGTTATCAGGTATGTAGAGTTTGTGACTCTGTCTGGTGCCGGATAGGTCCTTGAGGCGACCGAGGGCGTCAAATCTATCGATGGTGAGATCCTATTGCTCGAGCTCTTCCCGGGCTCCCAAATTGAGGCTGTCATGGAGGCCGTATCCAGCACATGAGTGACGACACGTTGCTATCTCGAGCGTCCATCACGCAGCCAGTCGCTCCTCTTTGCGAAGGTGGGACACGTCAATGCGAACTGCTGTGTCTATAGCAGTGAATGGCGGGGTCCCGAGTCGTATCCCTCCTCAATAGCCCGCGAATTAGGACTCCTCAGTTTTCTCGACGCCGTCCGAGCCTGCGAATGGGCCAATTCCCTTGAAACCGTCCCTGTCAACCACACTCTCGAAGACGAGATTTACCAATCTCAAGAACAAGACGCGGTCAACAGTAAGAGTGAATCAGGGAGCAAATTCACCTTTATCGCGGTGGTCATCCGTAGTTTATCCGAGATCACGTGCACGAATGCCCATTTTTCTCTTCGGGCGCCTCTTCCACTTCATCTTCTCCTTGTGCCATGGAATCGACTCTGGTCGATCTGGAGGTTGGACACTGCCCTTCTTCTTCCATTGGTTGGTCACCAGTCCGCCGTGAGTAGCAAAAGCTACCACCAAGTCTCTTGGATTTTGCTTGTTTAGACGTCCTCCTTCATGCCATGACCATCGATGAGTATAGGCACCAGAAAGACGCCATTGAGTGATGCTGCCAGAGACGGTCGGCGCCCTATACAAATATATCATGGGTGCTTACCGGCGACGCACGACATCAGCGTCAACGACGGTCGTCGGTGGCGGTACGTAGTGCATCCTCCTTCGCCGTAGGCGTGCGCGCTCCGTGCTTGACCACGCGAGGTATGATATTAGATGAACACGGAACCGAGGGTGCGAGAGTGTAGCCGGAGTTTTATAGTCTTATAATCGTCAAAGACCACTGGATTCACCTGAGGGGAAGAAGATCGAAAGGTGAGAAGGGAGAAGAGTAGAGAAGAGACAAAGGTCCGACGAGAGGTAGTTGTTGACTCTGGGAAGGTCTTTTCGGTACCTTCCCTCCTAATGACCTTGCCTGCCGCGATCTACACGAATTTACCTTGACTACCAATGTGAATACTTAGGTCAAAGTGATATTAAGGAGGTAAGCGAGTGATGAGACCTGACTAAAGAGGCGAGATGGATAAACCCCCTTTGTCAACTCGTTTAGAATTACACTGTTTCTCCATCTTGAAAACCTCTCCATGCCTTTGCCTCTTTTAGATCTTTTTATTCAAGATCATAATATGTGTAGATACTGTCGAGGGACCGCTGACACCCTGTGTTACACTTCTCGACTCTCGAAAGGGCTGTAAGGTTTTCCGCAGAACGCCCGTGTGCAGTGAAGACAGATGTGCTTATATCTCCACACACCCATGATGATTGTCACCCACATACCCGGCCAAGATACAAGACATGGCGGTTCTTACTGTCCTTGCCACACGTCAGAAAAACCACTGGCAAGCTTACTGTTGGAAGATGGACAAAGACGATGGGATCTAACCACTGGTTCCTTTGTCTTTGGTCATATTTCCACCCTCTACTTTTATGCTCTGGCCTAGGATACACACTCCTCACAATGGCCAGCCTATTTCATGCACCTGCATTCGGTGATGCTTTGTTCACTTCTCTATGTGTGATCTGTTGCACCTCGCAGTCACCGGATACGGCTATTCGTGGTCCTTTTGCGTGACAATTCGCTGCCTCTGTCAGTAGCGACACCCCATGTTTTGTGTACAAATACTTTTTTCCCTTTGTCCAGTCTCTACATTTCCCTTGACACTGCACAGCCAACTCACTAGCTAGTCGATACTTGGATAGCTATCCACCTGACCAACACTACCAGTGAGTCGCCATGGTCCATGGGACACCCTACATTCATGAGCTGACCACCATTATCTAGTCACAAATACTTTTCCCTGCTCGTCTTCACGATGAAGGGTATCGCGACTGTGGCATTTCTCGCCTTGGTCTCCACCTTGGCAAACGCCAGCAACGGCCATGACGCGGACGATTTCTGTATCACGGCATGCCAGAAGATCAAGGGAGGCTCCATGTCCATCTCTAGCCCAACCTGCTCTGGAGTGACTGGTGGATATTGCGAGGACCACTGCACTTGGTAAGAAAACCAGGCCCATCACCTTGCCCCCGTGATGTGACTAGAGGTCGCTAACGTTATCCGTTCGTTGTAGCTCTGGCGACGGCGTCATGACTTGCAACAACAAAGATGTCAAGTGTTCGGCCGATGCAGTCACCAAGACGTGCAAGCAAGGACTGTCCAGGCAGTGGGAGTGCTGGTGCCAAGATACGTCGTTCTTTTCTGATGGATGGGGTCCAGGCGTGGGAGAAACCTGCGCCAGCTTGTGATGCTACATTGTTGGTTTTCTTGCTAGTCGCTTAGAGGTCGCTTTCGTGCACCGAGTAAGGTGACTCGAGTACCGCGCAGGATACAACATTGGTCGGGTGTGCCATACGGCATATCCAATCCCTCTGTCGGAGGCTAGAAGAAACGAAGCAAGGCTCTCGGAGCGGACGAAATGGTCGATCATGCAGTCACAGGTCGACTATTGATCGAGCTACATAGTTAGTTCTAGACAAAGGCGTCTGCATTATTCAGCAGCGCAAAGAAAAGCAATCTTCAATTTACCACACAACTTCCCGTCGTCGTCGGTGCCTTCATGCAGTTGTATAGCTACCTTGTATGGAATCCCCAAAAATACGAGGCCGGGTGGACAGGCTTGCAGCAAGGCTGAGGTCAAGAAGGGGGAGAGGGCTGGGTAACTTACCGCATCCGGAGTAGTTCATCTACGTCATTGTTGGCTTTCATCCCTCAATGTCTCTTATTCCGACAAACTGGCAGACCGGGGTGCGGGTCGCATCTTCTTCATTATTCTCCAGGAATGGCATGTTGACTACTCGTCTAGCTTTGTTAATACGACAGGGCGGTCACAGACTGGGACTGGACGTCTGTCGCCTCCATCCACCAAAGATGGCGGGCAAAATGTCTACGCACTCGCCTTCGATGGCCAAGAACCTCTCTGTTGAACCGATGGTAAGGGGATTGAAAATCTCTCGGTCGCAAGCAAGCACCATTACAAAGCCGCGTGGCTGATCGCTGAAAGGAGCCCAGAATACCAATGACGCGAAATGGATCACCCTGAAGAAAATCACGTACAAGGACCCAGCGGGCAAGCAAAGGCTCTGGGAATCTGCGGAGCGACAGGTCAATTGAAAATCCCGCGGAGTTTTTTTGCTGTTAGAAAAGATACGGGGGAAAAAAGGTTGACTCAAGCTCTGCAGACAAGACCCAAGGACGCCGAAGTCGACGCCGTCGGCGTCGTCGCCATTCTCAACGACCCCAAATCCTCAAAGGGCCCCTCCCTGCTCCTCCAGAAACAATTCCGTCCCGCGGTCGACAAAGTCACCATCGAAGTGCCGTCGGGCCTCATCGACGCGGGAGAGTCGCCCACGCAAGCCGCCATCCGCGAGCTGAAAGAAGAAACGGGCTACATCGCCACCATCCCCTCGGATGCCAAAGCCGCCGAGGGTATTCTGATGTTCAATGACCCGGGGTTCTGCAATACAAACACAAAAATGATCTTTGTCGAGGTGGACATGCGCGACCCCAGGAATGCAGAGGAGAACCTCAAGCCTGAGCTGGAGGAGAGCGAGTATATCGAGTGCTTCACCCTGCCTCTGGACAACTTGTGGAATGAGCTGGGAGATCTAGAGGCCAAGGGCTTTGCGATCGACGCGCGTGTCGGGACACTGGCGCAGGGCATGGAGATAGCGAAGAAATGGAAGGACGTGCTCAACAAGAATCCCTCATACGTGAATGGCGTTGCAAGGCACAAAACGGCCTAGGAAGGTGTCTCCTCCCTCTTTGCGGTCGTTGTCCACGTCTCTTCAACATGCTCTATTTCTATCCATGTTTGAGCAATAGCTGATAGATACGCTAGCTTCCTCATGACAGCCGCCCGTGCCACTGAAGATCCTATCTATTTCTCATGTACATTCGTCCCCTTACAAGATCGAATGGTGCAAAATGTGATGTCCTGCGCTCATGACAAAACTCTTCTTTACTTGCAAGTATTCCCATCCCAACCAAAGAGACCTCGGTCCCGATATCAAAGGAGTAAACAATGTAGTCGTCAAAACGCCCCCCCCCCCCCCCTCTCTCCTCTGGGTGAGTCACCGCCTAAAGATGCCGGTGGCCCAGCAAAATCTCAAGATGGCAAGACCCCACGCCATGCCGAGGGAGTCTCTGACCAGATTCAACTTGCTGCCCGTCACCTCTCTCCAGCCCACTGCGACCTCGGCCACGGGGATGTCTGCGAACTCGGCTAGCATGAGCATCTCGACGTCGAAGATCCACCCTTCCATGTGCATGTGCGGGACGATGTACGGGAGCGCCGGGCGCGAAAACAGCTTGAAGCCGCACTGTGTGTCCTTGATCCGCGCCGTGGCCGGTGGTGTCATGAGCCAGAGCAACATGTGGAAGCAGCGCATGAGGAAGTTCCGCACTTTCGACCGCTTGACCACCACTTCCGAGTCGACCAGGTGCGCCCGCGACCCAACCGCGATGCCCCTGCCCTCGGCGTCCTCGACCTCTTGACATGCCCTCACCAACTTCTCGAGGTCGGAGAACTTGGATGCCCCGTCCGCGTCCGCGAAAACGACGTATCGCCCGCGGGCGTGGCGCATGCCGTGTGTCACGGCGCCGCCCTTGCCGCGGTTTTCTTCCAGCGAGACCATGCGGATGGATCCTGGAGGGATTTTTACACCCATTGGAGACCGATGAGTCCAGGGGCCTGAGTCACGGCGGGGGTGAGGATGGAGAATGTGTTTGCGAGAGAAGGTCTGGACGATGAGGAGGGTGTCGTCTGTCGAGCCGTCGTCGACTAGGATGATTTCCCAGCCTCGAAGGGGCTCTTGTTGTTTAGATTGCGGAGCACCGCCGTTCGCTTTCCTGCGCCGTGGACCATTGGCCTGTGTTTGTCCTGCTTCTTTGTCCACCCCGGACGTGGTGGGAGATGTGCCATACTCTGTCTCGAGAAAGTTCACGGCCTCCTCCAACATCCCTGTCAGTCTATCCTCCTCGTTGAACGCCGGGATGACCAGGGTCACGAACAACTCGGCGGGTTCGATCTCCTTCTCCACGTCGATTTCTGTGTCTGGGTCTTCTTGCTTCGCCTTGACATACTTTTGTAGGGATGCATCGTACCAACACGGCAACGGTTCTGGGTCTGTCACATCGCCCGTCTTGTCAACCGTTGTGAATGTCTTCTCGGACAGGCGGGGTTTTCGTGGATGAGGGACGATGAAGGTAATGAAGATCCATATCTAAAACACCGCGGAGCGAAATCGCTATTGTCAGCAGGAGGTCGAGGACATTGCTGGGAAGCCGCAAGAGGAGGGGTGTGAGACCCAGGCGGATTTTAGGAAATACACACCAGCAACAAGACCGCAAAGGCCGCCCAGACCAAGATGAAGGGCACCAGACGCCATTGTAGGAACTTGTCGTCTTTGAATACATTGTTGAAGTGACCGCCCATCCCAATAGGTCGTTCCATGGTGACCGCGACTTCATGCGCCCCTCCCCAAAGAGAGGAGGCTTCAGACGCAAGACGAGGAAACACGAATGCGGGCTCCTTTGGGACCTCAGACCTTTTGGAAGAAGACAACAAGTCTCAAGGTAACGTCAAAGCCATAGTAGTACTAGGAATATTGGTACGCAGGCTCGTCGTCATTCGTCATCGAGCAGAGCGTGAGTAGAGCATGCGGCTTTTTTGTGTCTCGCACTTGTCCTGCGCATTGACATTCGAGTAAAGGCAAGATGTCAACAATTTTTGGTGGTCGGCAAATCGGCGCAACCATCAGACTCCGCGACCAGGTTTATTCCACACACGAGTATTAAAATAAGCAACTTAATAGCAAATCACACTCGAAGGAGCGGCGCGTGAAACAAGCAAGGCTTTCCGGCTGCAATGCAGGCATTGGGGCTGGTGTTCTGTGCTTTGTATTGCGGAGTCCTGGGATACCATGCATGTGGGATGCAAGGGTTTCCAAAGTTTGGCCATCGGCCACGCTGCGAGCCTCGAGCTTTCTCTAAGAGTACGTAGCTCACCATGTCGTAGTATAGATCAGTTTCTGTCTCACTTTCGTAACCACCAGAAAAGCTGAGAGAAATTCCTCTTCATTCAACAAGACCATGACCCTCACCATAGCCGCTCCAACCCAGAACTCGCTTTCCCATCCTGGCTCTCTCGAGGGTATTCAAGACCGAATCCCACCAAGCCGATCACCGCGACGAGAAGCTTGAACTACCCGCGACCTTTGTCCATGCGCTTTCCAATTTGCTCTCGATCAATTCATCGACCGGCTCGGCGCCGACGTCACTTACGCCGACGCCGCCAGCCGCCTTCAACCCGCTATCACCAGTATCTGGCCGGTTCTCCTCCAGACTCTGATCCAAGTTGCTGGCATAGATGACAGCTGCGAAAGCTTCGAGCTCCCTGACCTCGGCTTCTGCCGTAGATACATATTCATTGGGTGGGTTGTTCCCATTTCCGATCGCATGTGCCTGGCGTGTTATAATCGCCAGAATGTTGGCTAGCTTGACGCGGGGTTCTCCTGGCACGACTGTGACGGCAGAGTCAAGCTCTTGAATGCGCGGTTGTTGCGCGCTAGACATGGATGAAGATGGGGAGTGTTGCCTGGGTTGTGGATATAGTTGGGCAATAACCCGAGTGTCGAGCAGATGCGAGAACATGGAATTGAGAAGCAGGGTGTGGATCCTCGTGAATGTCGGCGAGTCAATCAGATCGGCAGTCTCATCGAGAAGCTGCCGCAATGGCCCTGTCGACGTATCGATATGCATTGTGGGTTCTTGACGTTCGCCCTTCTCCGGATCCTGAGTGTGAGAGCCGGGAGATGTTGCAGGCGGAGTGACCACCCCAGACTCTATCAGCACCGTCTCTTCCTCCTCTTTGGGTGGTAACACATAGGTTAGCCATCTGGTGGCATATCTCTCCTGTTCCGAACCGCCCTCGACGCGCTTTCGGACATCAAGAACCAAATCGCTGAGCCGAGCGGCGGTGATTCCCTCACTGGGAGAGATGCCCCCAAATACTTCCTCCACTGCTTCCCTGACCTTTGACATGATCTTTGCATACCCCTTGTGCAGCAGAAACCAGGAAAATGTTAGATATCTCCTATTGGTTTCAAAGTCGTTTCCGAACGCTGCGCCGGAGCTTCCGTCGTCATGATCCTCCAATGAGATCGAGTCCGCTCTCTCGGGTGGTGGCGGCTGGGCCAACGAAATGACCGACGACAGGTAGTTTAGTCGACCCAAGAGGTTCAATTGTATTCGTGTGAGGATTATGAGGAGCGACAGACTGTATATCAGTGTGAATGCTCTTGTGATCGAAGTCACTTTCAATTCGTTCCAAAGTTGGGCCTTTGTCCGGCGAGGCCCCGTTGGCTGACTCGCATCTCCTTGGAACTGGCTGGCATGTATAAAACTCCCCGTCTGGAAGCTTGACATGCTTGCCGTGTCGCCGTCATACATACTTGAGGCTTCGGATTTCCCTTCTCCTGAGGCACGTGCCAATCTTTCGGCCTTCTTCTGTTGCAGTTCATGAGTCAATTGTTCGACCGGAAGATCCTCCAGAATGTTCTCGGTCAGGGTAGGGAGTAACGCGAGGACCGTGATCGTACAATCTGTCTGATTCTGCTCGAATCGTCGACGGATGCTGGGCAAGATGAGATTAGTAGATATTCCGCGAAAGAAGATGGTATTATCTCACTTCTCCTTTGCGATCTTGTCCATCTGCATGCGCTCTCGCGCTTCATTAATCTTTCCAAGGACATACTGGGCTGCCAGATACGTAGCGCCAACAACACCTGCGCCGATGGCTATACCAGTGCGATGCCGCCTGAGCCAGCGACGTGTGGCTGATATCATTTTGATTTTGACCAATGCGAGGGAATCTGTGCACCTTATCTCAGGTACAAGTTGTCCGCTGGATAGGACATGATCGCGAATGGCACAGAGGAAGAGATGGAGGGCTCTGGCTGAGCGTCCCGAGCAAGTTCAGGTACAAGAAGGGAGCAGGCACACTGAAGACGCAGTTTTAGTATTGAGTCAATTGATCACAATTGTCGATGGAGCGGATCAAACTTGTGGCGGTGCCTCGGCTGAAGGCTGGCAGAGTACCTCGTATGGAGTATAGTACCCGAGCAAGAGCATGGGCCTTTTCGGTGCGGGATGGGCTTGGGGGAGAGTCAAGATACAACTGGAGAGCCAATAAATGAATGAGAAGACGGGCCGTAAGCAGGTCGGTGGCAGGTGGTGGCAGGGGATCTGACACGTACAACTACGTAATAATGAGGGCTTTGCTTGGGTCGTTTCAAAGGGGGCCCCAAGGGGGCCTTTCAGCCGGAAGTACGAGGTACCTCGTTGCGCCTACCTCTCCTAGCCGAGAATGGCCTTCCCTGCCCGGCTGGACCCCACCATCGAAGGAACATTCAAAGACTCTTGGATGCACCTCATCGTGGCTTTGTTCAAAGAGTCATACCGCTGCGACAAGTCCACCGATGCTGAAGGCACAATTGTTGGAGCCTGTATACAGCCATGTCTTGAATAGTCGCTCTGTCCGAGGCGCCACTTAGCTGGCTGCCACCCCCTTTGCTCTCTCCTACCAATACTCCGCTGAGCGTACCACTTGCGAAAAAAACCCCCACCATCTTGAAGTCGAAGTTGATTTCAGTACCGAGTATACTTGCGCACGAAGATTGCTAGTTGCGATCATGGACCAGGGTCATCGCGAATACATCCTGGAGGTATTCGCAGATCAAACGTT